GGAAAAAAAAAAAAAAAAAAAATGTGTTAATGAGTGAAGGCCAGATTAAGTTTTGCAAAGTAAGAACTAACACTACCCTAGACAGCCATTTTTAATAAGCCTTGTCCACCTCCCTGGAGTTCTGTTATGCAGGTAACCACTTCTCATTGTCATGGGCACTTAACAAGCCCACGTTCACACAAGCAGCCACAATTCTGCAGGGCTCGCGCCATTTTCTGTTGTCTGTCTCTCAGGGCTGACAGGTGAGTGGCACTTTGCTTTCTGGTGTGCTCAACCTGTGGTCGTGACAGAGGCAGGGACCTTTGCTTCCTGCTGCCCCCTCGGTGACACAGCCATTGCACATTGTCATCAGAAGCCTCCTGACAGAGTGTCCAGAAGTCTCGTGGGTCCAGTATAGCTCTGAGCAGAAAACTGGTTCGTTTTTATAGATTGGGGTGAATATGCATGGGTTGCCAGGGCTGTAGCACAGGGAGGCTAAAACTGGGTCCTGAAATTTGGGGGAAGGGTTTGAAGCCTCAAGTCCAGCCAGTCGCTGTGTGTCTATAGGATGTGTGCATTTATAATCTAAATTGTAGAGTGAGTAGGTGATAGTAACAGAGAAAAACAGACTGTCCTGCCAAGAGGGTTCCTTTAATCCTTTACTGGTGCTTAATTGTCATGAAAAATAGTTCTCATTTTCTCCTTTATTAGTTGGACCCCCATTTCCTTGATTTTTATGCCTCTATACACCAAAGAAGTGCAGATTTGCTTCCCCTGGCCCTGGAAAGGCTCCATATCACAATCCCTTGTCTTGTGTGAGAATTTCTAGACTTGAAAAAGGCTCACTAGGATTATTTTTTAAAAGGACACCTGCAATATAGGTAGTGCATGAATAATGTAAGATGCTATTAGCATATAAAACAAGTGTTAGCATTAAAACAAATCATAAGACCATGAAAGTCAGGCCTAGTGAGTGCTCCCTGGGTGGCCAAGGGGCTGGTCTAGTTTTAAAGGAAAGCAAGGTGGAAAGTCAAGGTTAGGTGAGCTCAGTGGAGAGCCAGGAGTTTCCTGGGGGCTCTATTCTTCTGTCCTTTGCTGTAAGATTTAATGTTTTGCTTTTGTTCTTTCAAATAATACCTTGGAATTTCCTTTGGAAACACCGAGATAACTGTGTTAATCTATTGCATGAGATAAATTAGCTGCAGAATCTTCACATGCAGGAGAGAGAGCAAGTAAGGGTTAAAAGCATTGATGTTAATTAAGCAGACTGTCTTGAGCAGCTCTAGACAGCAGCCTTCCCACAGATTTTTGATGCTAAACTTAGCCCCTGTCTAATGTGCTGGCATCTTCATTCTCTGCCTGAACTTATTAGCCAGACCTTCAATGGAAAATATCAATGACATGAGAGTTGGAGCTGTTCACATGGAAACTATGGAACGATCCTTCTCCTTCTGCCTTATTGCATGCAGACAGGTCTTGATCACCCACATGTGGAGCCGTGCTGCTGCGGACCGCCATGCACCTTTGGGAGTCAGGCTGCGTTCCCTTTCTTCTCCCCGGGGCCTTGCAAGGGTTCCTTAAACAGGACCAGAGTAGGCCCAGGGCCTCACAGTGAGACTCTTGACATCATACGCTCCGAAGTTACACACTTGGACACGTAGGAGTCAGGGAGTGAGACTGTCCTCTCTTCCAGCTCACGCTGCTGCCCGTTACTAGAGCACGCGACTGTCGGCCCCGTATTTCCACCCACGTACTGATGCAGTTTCAACAAACTGCCATTGTAACAGTGATAATTGTCATCATTTGAACTCCAAACATTTTAAAGGGCTTTTATTCGGTGGTAACACTTTTGAGTATAATTTTAATGTCTCGGTTGTAGGATTTTAATTATCTCTTTATATATGAGGAGTTCCAAAAACTAGATAAAGCATGGACTTCCCTTGCTGGGGATCTCACTGCCGACTAGTTCCACCCTCCTCAGCTGTGCCCAGAACAGCCTTTGTCATTTGGGGAGAGCACACGTGGCAGGAACATTTCCTTCTGACACCAGGGAAAGGAAACAGAGCTCCAGCAGCCCCATCAAAGCATCTGGGGCAGTTATCTCCACCCTGGATTACCTGTTCCTTTGCTTCAGTGCATCTAAAAACGGAGGAAACTCTGCTGCAGGAGGTGTGTTGAATTATCTTATCATTTATGAACTAAAATTACATGTGTATAATATTTTATCTGAAACCCTGGGGCTGGATACATACTGGAATTCAAGATTTTTAAAAGTCTGTTGTAGAAAGGTAATACGGTGCATGTAGCCTATGTCATCACTCTCAGCAAGGTCTGGAGCAGAGTCTTGAAGTCAAATCCATTAACATTTCTGCAGCAAACACATGTGGCTATTCACAATGAGCAGGCTCAGTAAGGACTGTAATACCTTATGTTAGAACAGGTCAGATTTTCCCGTAAGGGAGATTACTGCAATCTTTCAGAAAAAGATTGGAATTTTTAAAATCTAGGAATAACGGTCTGTGAATCTGTTTTGTGCTTGTTTATTACCTATTTTTAAAAGTTTTATCTGTCTCTATTCATTTAGTCAGACAATGTAGGCATGGGGTTTTGAGTAATTTTTGTGGAAAGTAACATGAGGCATTTTTTACTGGCAGAGCAAAGAGGCCAGAATGATGTGCAGGTCATCTTTTGAAGGAGTGGGGGGAAAAAAAATCAATGTTTATGCCTTTGGGTCTTGTAGTTAGGTTATTTATCAAGCAGGCTAACCAGAGTGAAGCAACGTCTACTCCTTTAAGCCTTTTAAGCACATCAAAGATGGGACATGGAGAGGATGGGCCCAGTTACCCTAATTATATCTTTACAGCTAGCCACAGGCACCACAAAGATTTCAGGGATGGGAAATTAGGTCGATGATCTGGGATGGTGGCATAAATTTACTGCTGTCTTGATCTGAAAATATCCCTTCCAGCCCTGCAACTCTGCGATATCATGGTATCTTCTAATTAAGAATATTGGCAGAAAACCTTTTAATATTTTATAAGAGTAGCTGCATACAGGGGTTGTCAAGGACCAGTAATTACGCATTCTTTTAAAGATGCTACCAGCAATAGGCAGGAGTCAGCTCAGGACTCAGAAGCCTCTCCCCTGGGGCCATCACCTGGATGCAGAATATCAGCTGCTCAGAGAAAATGGCCAAGGGACAAAAAGCCAGTGAGAAGAATGAAGGACAGATGGCATTTTGGCCCGTGGATCTTCAAGATGGACCCTTAGAGTTTGAGCTTTCTGGATGCTGGAGCACCCTTTCTTTCCACACCACCCCACCTACCTTAATTAACTAGACGCTACTAGTGAAGTGCAGTATTACCTGAAATAACTTGCTCATAGGTAAATCCTACACAGGACAATTTGGGAGGCACTGGCTTGTAAACTTGTAGAAACTCCATGCATGTGGAGACTAAAGAACATGTTGTTGAATAATCGATGAATCACAGAAGAAATAAAGAAGTTTCTAGAATCAAATGACGATGGAAGCACAGCCTGGCTAAGCCTATGGGACACAATGAAAGCATTTCTAAGAGGACATGCTGTACCTGTAAATGCTCACATAAGAATCCCAAATACATAACCTAGGATCCTAGAAAGTCCAAATCTGAAAAGAATGG